TATGGTTGGGAGATATTCGTTGTTTAGGGACTAAGTCTCAAACCAATGGTGTGAATGGTTTGTTGGATGTCTTGGATTTTAGCTAGTTCTGTATTTTTCCAATAAAAGGAATTGCATAGCAACTAAATCAGTATTATTCCACGCTTTGATTAATCATTTTTTTTTTGCATAATATCTTAGAGCCTGTCCTACAATGTGTCTAGGAACGACACCACCCTTCCAGGTCCGTCAGGACCACCATTTGTATGCAGGCGACGGGCCCATCCTCGGCGAAATGTTAACGAGGGCAATTAACACTGATATGCATTTAATACCACATATATCGTCTGCCAGACGACTCGTAGTTCCCTTCCTAACTAAAACAAATGCCTTCAACACTAAATAAGCTTCTGTCGGATGGCGGGCCGATGCGCTGTTATTGCGGCGGCGCTGTTGTTTTCCAGGAGTTTGAGTCCGTGGTGCCGCCTCCCCCGGTGCTCGTTTCCCCTTGTTTCTCTCTCTTTCCCTCGCTACTCGCTGGGATCTCGGGGAGTGCATCCCTGCAGTCCAGCAGCTAATTGTGATTACCAGAACGGTGGAAAATGAAATCGAATACGCCAGCATCTATTGCAAGCTTTTGCAGAAGTCTGGCCAGAGACGGCAGGAGCACCCATGGCTGGCTGAGCAGCGCGCAGCCTCAGCAGCCGCCTGCGGCTCGTAGGGATGCTGTGCCGCAGAGCACCCATGTAGTGCGGCACACCCAGACAGCCTTCTCGAGTCAGCTTGCTGTGGGGCTGAGATGGCAGGCCCTCTCGAGACGAGAGCGTAAGCTTGCTTATTAAAGGGACCCTCCCACCTTCAAAAAAGTTCATGAATTGGCATAAAAGTGATGTAGCGTGAATCACAAAGAGCGAAAATGAACATCTACCAAATTTTACCGGAAAATATTCAACCGTTTTCGAGATATAAGACTTTTATTTTTGTTTACTTTTTGGGAACTCCGCTGTTTCTATGACGTCACATAAAGGTTTTCTTTACGTCGGCATTTGGAAGCAATAATTTGGTATCAAAGTGCGACAAATATTGCGCGAATGATGCGTTTATCTTATCAAGGTCAATATATGATGGCCAACAAAGGATTCCAGGACAATTCCTCTTATGGTATTTTTTCGTATCGCAATTCTTCGTCTGCAAATCTTCGTCAGGGCATTTATTCGTATCGCATTACTTTGTCTCGCATCAGGGTATATGAAAATCGGCTCGCATTTCTTCTTCAACGCAAATATATGCAAGAGTAAGCATTGATGGACAAATAAATGCACCGACGAAGATTTGTAGACGAAGAAATGCGGACGAAGAAATGTCATGCGAGGATTCGTTCGGGTACCATGACATTTATGTGATTTCAAAGTCAAGGTTCACAGCTGATCTGCTAAATCAAGCCAAGAATCCAAACTATCAAAAAACTATAAATATTTGTTTGTCTGTCACAGAGGTCTCAAGCAATATAAGGTTGACATATGTTGAATCAAAAAACTACTGCCACAACTCACATTTCCTGCCTTAGTTTATCATTGTTGTTTTAACTTGCTTTCAAGAGAAACAGAAGCCAGTATCTGATATCACTTCAGATGATTGTTTCAAGATCTGAGTTCAAATGGAATTAAAAGCAAGATCAAGATGAAACAGGGATTATTGCTGTTAAAGTAGTTTGGCCATGATACAACAGGCACATAAATCATTAGCCAAATCAAATACTGGTTGGTTTGTCAAGATGTTTGTTGTCTGTCGTCTGTCGAGCTGCTATGAACACTGAACGCTCTCACTCTTACTTTAAAGAGAGTAGTTTAAGTTGAATGGTAGTGAGCTGTAATTAGACAAAGCAGCTATTCAGTGCTCACATCAAGCTAGGCTAGGAAATGGCATCAACTGTGGTGGGAGGAAGCAGGTTCGGCAGGCCTATGTTGTAAACTTCTGTTGTGTCTTGTGTTTGATCAACTGATGTTTTCTGCTCTGTTTTGTGCAGTGATAGTAGCAGGTAACTGCATGCTTGTCAAATTATGTGAATAAACGAATTCATAACATTGCATTTTTCTCTCCATGCAAGGAACAAGTAAGATGTAGAAAATGTAATAGAGGGCTGCATTGCTGATTTCATGCACTTTATCAGAGCTTTATTTAGAATTGCTTTCCTGAAAGCTACACACAGGCCACAGCACTGAAATTCACAATGTCATAGCTTTTGGCAGAAAAAAAGAAAAGACTTGCTAGGTAAAATTGGCTGAAAGTATGGCAGAGCAGGTCTTGATGCGTATGCCCATCCGTGTGCTTGCCGAAGCCGAACTGACTGCAACACATTAACTCTGACCCACCATGGTGGCTGGCATATCCTGAACTTTCACCACTCTAAACAAGACAACTTTCAGCCCTCAGCAGTCAGCATTGTATTAAAACACTGTACATGGCAGTTGACACTCAAAATTTGTTTCAGTGCCATCCACGGACAACATCAGTCGCCATTCACCAGGCCAGTAAAAACAGAATAGATAATAGCTTCAAACCCATGTAGTCAGAGTTACTAGGTCTGCACCTCAAAACAAAATCCAGGCGACATTCACCACGCCAGTAAAAAAAACAGGTAGGTACTTAGGTAACATAACAGCTTCAAATCTGGTAACATGTTGGTCGGACTTAACACTACCATATGTACATGGAATAATATGATACCAAACAATAGTGCAACCATTCTGGACAACAAAAGTGTATGATAAAATTAATTTAGAATACTTTGGCAGCATGATTTACGAGCACAGGCAGGTGTTACCTACCAGCCTTCTCAATGCTCGTAAAACCAACATTGTAGTTTTGATTTTACCTTACATAATAACACACTTGGCAGCAATGGCACATTTAATTTAACACTGTGAAAAGACCAGTTATAACCAAACCACTTCACAAGCACAATTGCACCTCATGCCGACATCCTTTTCCAAAGACAGTCAGCAGCGTCTTTCGTCAAAACTGGAAGATCAATCCCCTTTCAACTGTTAACATCAAAAATATTTCTTCATGGTGTGATCTCCTATGGAAACCTTGCGGGAAAAGAATTGATGTCAATTGTCAGCTCTTCAAATTTCTTTGGACTTAAACTTGCAGTACCATATCCAGTTTGCTTTGATATTTTGTTTTTCATTCCATGTTGAAGTTGAACACCAAGCTCCAGATATAGCAGGCAGCTTGATCATCTTCGGCCTTGGTATAATATCAGTCCAAGTTCCAGTGGTGGGTATCTTCTAATATTCAAATTAAAATGAAAAGCAATAGGCTTTCTCAGCGCCGACGACGGATTTCACGTTGATAAAAAAGGGAGCTCAAGGTCAGCAAAACTCGGGTTCAAGGAATGGCGGGCGTTGAAATGACTGCTGACGTCATCAACAAACCGCTAATGGTTAAGAGATAGGGACTAAGCTGGTCCCACCCTGCAAGTAAAGGGAAGAAATTTCTTGAACACCATAAAGCTGCGAGGGTTGCGACCAGGATAAATGGTGGTTTCTGAGCCTGGCCGCAAACTTGGCTATCTCAACTCAAAACTAATGTTAAGGTGGGATGGTCCCTTTAAGTAGGTGAAACATCCAAGGTGAGAGTATGTACATACATATTTTAACATGTTCATTATAAGCAAATGCATCGGATATCTCCCGTTCGTCTTGACAACATTGCACAATAAAATCACTGTAAAAGATGGCCCGCAATATATTGATGAGACGGAGAAATATCGCAGACTGTAGTGGTTCTGGGAAACTTACTTAGCGTTAGAATCGGTGAAGCCCTGACTATTTCGACGAACACGTTAACTGCGCTCGAGATGGAGGAGATGTGCAGTTGCTCGTGGGCTCGTGGTATTGCGAATGCGGACGCATTTGATATCAGAACTTCTAACTATATACTACAGCTATCTTCTTCTGCTTTGAAGTAATCATTCCTCATGCGACAGCTTGCGATTAATCATAAAAACTATTAGAAATTAGAATAAATAACGAGAGGTGTTTTGATTGTCGGGTAGTGGACACTGGACAGCCTGCGGCCGGCCAAGTAAGTATACACATTTTTTTTGTAAGACACTTGTGCCCAGCATTTTATGCTATACCTACTCGGATGGTCACGCGTGTCTACATGTTATAACATAAAGATGTAGTAAAATTGTTATAACATGTAAACACGTGTGATTATCCAGTTCTGCAGGATGCAACAGAGACTTGCACTGCCTTGCATTTGGAAAAAAATGGAAGCCCATCCAGTGCGTCTGATATATTTATACAACGAAGCCAAATATATTGTACATACCTTGGTATGAGAGCAACTGTTCGAGTTGATAGCTTCTTTTATCAACACTGACCATAAGCGCATGCCAGAAACGCTGCAGAAACGCATGCGATGACAGTGTTAATGTATACCGTGCCGGGCGGAAGGCGAGTCGCAGCCGGCATGGCGCCCTCACTGCGCGGCGCACGCGAGCCTTGCACTCTACACGCAAACCTAACTATGCGCTCGACCCTTTCGCCATGTGAAGAGTCCAGCTGAGAGCATCCAGTGGCCGGCAAATTGCGTACAGCACGGCAACAGGTTAACGGCCATTGCAGATTTAACCTGATTATTCTATAACGATGTCATGTTATAAAGAAGAAAGGGTTTTGACGAATGGGTATTTTTCCTTTCTCATAAGCAAGTTTGCAAACATATCCGTGTCTCTCCCTCCCTCCCTCTCTCCTCTCTCTCTCTCTCTCTCTCTCTCTCTCTCTCTCTCTCTCTCTCTCTCTCTCTCTCTCTCTCTCTCTCTCTCTCTCTCTCTCTCTCTCTCTCTCTCTCTCGCTCTGTCATGTGCCGCCGTACCTTCACGCAGCGCGTTCCACCGAGCCCCGTCGGTTTCGTCGGCTGCGATAAAGTAATCGACGCGCGCGACGGCAGCGGCGACGGCGCGACCTGTTGAGTGGCGTCGACGGCCGACGCTCCCGACGTTCTGAGTCGAGCTGCGGCCGTCGGCGCGGAGGGTGCGTCGAAAACGTCGGTCCGCGCCGGCGACGACGGCAGGACGGTGCGGTGGAGAGAGGCGTGAAGTTGGGAAGGGAAGGAGAAAGAGCAAGTGATAAAGAGTGAGAGAGCAGCAGGTGACGCGTAAGGAGAGAGATCGGCGATGTGAAGTGAGGAGAGAGTTGAGGTCTGAAAAGTGACAAGTGACCAAGGTGAGGTGTGGAAGACACCGCCGTCAGTGCGTTGGTAAAGGAACCCATCCGTGACCCCGCCGGTGACTGAGGGGGCAGAGTGACAGTTTGCGTTTGAAAGAAGAAGCGTGGTTTGTTGTCAGATGTTGGATAAACACTGTGACCAGGTGAGTTGTGGCAGTCAACACGTATAATAGTTTTATATGCCTTTTTAACAGGTCATAGCCCAACTTTTTCTTAACCCGCGCCCTGCTGGGGGGGGTGTTTGAACACCCCCCCTTGTGTTTTTTTGCGAATATCTCAAAAACGGCGGCGCGGAGCGCCGCCGTTTTTGGTACACCTTATCATACATCAATTCCACACATGTTGTGAAAATTTCAGACCAGGGTCATTTAAGGTCAGGTCACCAGGTCACTTGAAGTGACCTCACCTCATAAAAAGTTTCAATGTCTGTCATAGCTACACCGAATGACCGATCGCTTTGAAACTTTCAGCGATTGCTTAGAGCAATAGCATGTACAAAATGTATATCTCAGAATTTTGATATCGATGACCTAAGGTCAGGTCAATTTTGCGACCTCCCCATTATAAGTCAATGGGAGAAAATTGAAATGCGCCTCTTTTGGACGAAAGACATTATAAATACTCCCAAACACCGAATTACAAGTGGATTAGACACACTGAACATGAAAATGGTGTCCGTGACCCTTGTGTATGCCCTGAGGTCATCTTAGGTCACGAATGGTATCTAACAGTTTTTCGCAAATAACTTTTGATAGGGGCATGCTAGAGCGATGAAAACGCCCTAGATGTGTTCAGCTCGACGATACGGATCGACTGATATGCAACATGACCCTTTCCGGTCAGGTCATGACCTTGACCTGAGGTCAAATTTTCAAGTTGACCTTTCAAGGTCAAGTTATAGTTCATTCGATGCGTCTTGACGAGAGGAACACGATGCCGGTAAAAGTAAGCTCGTACAGGGCTTGGGTCAAAAGTTATTGCAGAAAAACTGTTTCCGAAAAAAAATCGGCTATTTTGGCAGTTTTTGCCCCCTGCAGGCAAAACCGTTGACGTTAGGTCAAATCTGAGAGAATTACTCAGAAAGGGCGTTAATAGGGCTATCGAATGCGCTTTTCCGCGGCGCTGTAGCTCTATTGGTTCCCGAGTTATGCGTTGGCTTCTTGGAAATTTTCGACATTCGACCTGGAAATCGGCGAAATTTTGCCTTCAATGACCTCTGGTGACCTGACCTTTGACCTGACCAAAAAATTGACCGAAGTGATTTCGTCATTATTTTTGACGCTCTTTCGAACGCCGCCTTCCGCGTATCGCTACGTGGCCCAGGAGCCGAGTTACAAGGGGGGGGTGTTCAAACACCCCCCCCCCCAGCAGGGCGTGGAAATCCAGGACCCCCAGCCGGGCGCGGGTTAAAAAAGAAATATTTCTAGGCATAAATGTCCAACAAATATCAAAATAACTTTTACCTTGAACTCACCTCATCACGATGCATCATTACCGGCGTTTCGATTGAAAGTGCGATCGGTTTTCTTTTTTCACTCCTCGGTTTTTCCTGTTCAATATTTTTTCTCACAAAGACTGTCAAGAAAAATCAGCAGTTCATTACAGTTGCAGTTCAATGACAGTTGCCCTAGGTGGCGTCGTTTTTACTGACGTGGAATAACCAGAGCTGTCCAAACACATATTTGACAGCTTTTCCCAAGTTTGCTGTGCGTGCCGTTGCTGAGATCTTAGGCTTGTCTCAGCCCCACACTTTGTAAAGATTTCGACTCCGTACTGTACGACTCGAGCACAAAAGGCATGTTGTGCTCTAGACTGCTAAACTGCTCAGTGCTCATGCAGTCATGTTCAACTGAAACACTTGGATGCATGAAGGCGATCCATTGGCAGTTGCTTTTGATTGAGCGCGCATACCGATGGGCAGTCTCGCTCCACCGAGTGCAGTAACACTACTCAAGAAGACGCTGTTTATTGACTATTATAATTATTGCCATCTCTCTTATCCAACTGTCGACATACTCACCTATTGAACAATAGACGTATATGATCAATGCCGCCTGTCCTTGTCCTCGCACGATTGCATTCCAGGGCAAACAAAACAGCAAAGTCCGCGCTTATGCTGTTCTTTTTTAGTTGGTTCCTGCTGCATCGCTGCGCAGTTGGTTCTATGAATATCCAACAATGGGTGTCAAGGCGTTGTACAAAGTATGCCTATTATAGTGTGACCTTGTACTCACATACAGCTGTGTGTACCGGACTCTCGAGCTTTGACACTCATGAGCACTCATGACTATGGGCTGGGCTTATGTGATGGGATATATGCGTAAAGCGATCGCCTAAGCATCTTTGCGTGTTTTCACAGGACAGGTGCTTTAGTGAGAGGTTTAACTCAGTAACACTTAGGTCTGGAAAAAATGAAGCATAGATGCTGTAGCTACAGTGTATTTATGGTGCCTCATAAACATTGCAATTTGCAAAAGTTATACAAACCTTCAGTGTCCGTTTGGGTCAACTTAGGTACCTATAAAATATGTCTATATGTCATGCATAATAGCTAACAGTTAACAGCTAACAGTTTAAATCGCGAGTATTTTTAAAGAGTTATTTCTAATATGTAAGCTAGCATTGCAGCACTAATATTGCGAACACAACCGCTTCAGCATTGGTATTGACATAATACCTACCATTTTATCAGTGTATTTGTTTCTTATGAAGATTTCCTATTAAGTTACAGATTTTTGAAACGGCTCGTTCAGCATCGGAGTTATTTCTTTGCTCACCGACAACACTTTGTCTGCCCCAGTCACAACAGATCCATTTCGGCCTCGGGCGGGCGCAGATAACGAGCAAAAAGAGCAGCGCCTCGGACAGACGGTGCAGGTTGGCCAACGGCAGACCGCTGGTCAGTGCCTCCGCTTCCTCCTCGACGCACTAGGCCCCTCCCCCACCCTTCCCTCCACGCACCAGACCCTCCCCCACCCTCCCCTCCCCGCCGGAAACCCGGCGGCAATTGTCCCCTCCCTCGCGTCTCTCCTGACGGCACGAGACCCCGACTAATGAAGCTGGCCGGCGACAACCGCGGCGCACGCGGCGAATTAACGGCGCACCGACGCACAGATGACGTCTGGCGCGCCGCATATCGCCTCAACCGCGCCACACATTGCCGCTCTGCGCCGGGATTTGTCGTCGACCTGGAGGCGGATCGATCGCCTGCAGGCAGGGCTGCCAGGGGTGCCGAGCTCGGATATTCTGTTCGGCGCTCGGGGTTGGACAGCAGAGCGCCACGCTCGCCGTCTGTGCGCCACAGGCGCCGTGACACCGCGCGGCGTCTGTGTATTTGTGTTGGGTGTCGCCTCTCGACGAACCAAAACACTGGGCGGCGGCCGAGTGTCGCAGCTGCGGTTAGAGCCCGGCGCCGGTCCTCAGTGGCGCTATACCGCCGCGCCGGGAGAAATCATGGCGAGGAAATAATAGAGCCGGCTACATCACAGCTGACTCATGGATGCCTGGAAACTGATAAGTATGTGTTCAAATAAGGAACACAACCGGTGAGATGCGAACGAAAATGAGGCGATTATCCACTCACCTTTCAAAACACAGATAAATAAATGTCGCACCCTAATAATCTCTACCATGAAGCACTTATCCTGATTCACAGGTGCAATAGATACCCGCTGGTGTATTGCGAGCTGTGTAATGATTTATGACTGGAACAATAGTACAGGGGGCGAAAAGAGGTGGAAAGAGCTACGGATGGGCCTATCCTATAAACAGGAGCCATTTGTCCTATCCCAACTGCTGAGATGTCTCATGTCTGACAGAGCTGATGAATTCATGACAGACAGCCTCTAACACAGAACCGTCTGAGGCTATGCCAGCCCTCAGAGTCACATTCAAACAGGGCCAGTAATGTCATAGCCGGGTGAACATGGGATGGCTAAGGCACTGAATGCTCGTAAATCCAGCAGACCAACCGACTGCTATGGTAGGTAACTTGCAAACTGGCTCTGACAAGACATTGCACAAATAAATGCGACAGACAATGTGGACTTATTTATGGCTTCTCTTGACGGGAAATATACACTGAATTTATGTAGAACATGACCCTGCTAATCGCATGGATGTTATTTTGGTGACCCACACACCGGCTGCCCATTGTTTGTTATTCAGTCACCACAGAGGTGTCTTGTAACCTGTCCGTAATGCATCCTGAGCGAGCGATGTTACAAGATCGGGATAAATATTGTTTTTGACACACGTGGAGCTGAAAAGCTACGCTTCAAAACTGTCGTAAATGCTCTTTACTGGAAATAATGGGCGGTTGTCGTCGATAGGTAGATCTCTCGGAGCGAAGGCGCCTATTATTTGTAGCCTATGCACTGGTGCTTTTGGAGAACATTTATGTTATCCCATGAACGGTATCCTACCACGATGCACCAAGCCAAATACATAAATGCCTAACACTTGTTCAGATATTCGTACTCGCGCGAACAGCTTTAGCCATCCCACTTTTCCCGATTGTGTCGTTCAACCCAAACAATCGGCAGCATTAACGTCAGCTGCGTCCCATTTCTCGACATAAATGACCCGCTCCACTCCGTAACCAGTCTGTTGAATACGGAAGATGCACCTGCAGAGCAGCACAGGTGTTGTGTAGAGCCCTAGCTGTCGGTTGTCGCCACTCGACGTACGCCCTTTGTTCGGCACAAGTGGTCGGCGTCACTGCAGTCGTACTAACATGCCACTGGTGATAGCCCTCTCCTGGCTGTCATGTGGGGCTCGGTGAGCATGCACAGCAAGAACGTCGAGTATTACGAGTAGTTACTACGCTTGTGGCTGTGATCCTCAGATAGATTTCTCGGCGTAATATATGTTCGTTTTTGGGATGCAACTGCAGTTACAGTAGCGTTTTGGGTGCGATGCTGTCAGAGTAGGACCTTTAGCCAGAATGATTAGTAATTCTGTTTTTCATGCGATTATAATCTGACGCTCCTTTTATGTAAAACATAATATGCTTTTGTGAAACGGGTTTAGGCTAACTTTTCGTTAGCCTAAACCCGATTTTCAATTTATTTTAATTTACCCTAACTTTTTGGATAGCATAAATTAAAACTAGTGTATTTTGATAGGAACAGCCCAGATCCGA